GCTGGGATTACAGGATTGAACCACCATGCCCAGCAATCCTGTACCTTAATGAACAAATTATTGTTATTTTTCTTATCCTGTTTTAAAACTCTTCAAGCATCTCGAGAATGAGTTTCTCAGCTGACTCCTGTGTACACATATATACGTATGCAATAAAACTTTGAGTAAGTGCTCAGTTCAATTGCTGCTTTTTTTCTTTAGCAAATCATAATTCACTTTTAATCCTCAGAGCAGGCAAAGAGGTACATACTATTATTGTCCCTTCTTTACAGATGTAGACACTGAGGCACAGAGAAGCATCACACTGTTCAACTGAGAGTAGATCCTCCATCTGTGCTCGGCCTGCCAGGGAAACTCACCTTTCCTGTTTGGTGAGCTTCCTTTACTACTCAGTGCTCCCCTACCCCCTAAAGTTCTCTGTCCAGCACTCCAGGTCCTCGGAACGTTTTGCTCTTCTGAGCTGGTCTCAGAAACAAACAGAAATGTTCACACTGTGGCAGGAGAGTGAGGGGACCTTTGGGGCTAGGCATGCCTTGCTGCATTTCTCGCATAGTGCCATGCAGGTCCCTACCTGCTCCAGAGACTTAAGATAGGCCCCAGTGTGGCCCTTGTTTCCTGCACCTTGGGATTGACCTAGTGTTCCCTCCCACCAGAGGGCTAGTATTGCCAGAGGAGACAAGTGCTCCCCCTCCCCTCATGCTCAGACTACTCACCATTGGATACAGAGAGGTGAATGGGGTCACTGACGGGTGCTCCCCGTGTCTGGCATCGATACACCCCCGGTGTCTGCACCTCAATGCTTTTCTTGTGAGAGGGCAGAAGTAGGTGGCCCAAATACCAGAGAGTGCTGATGGGCCGGAGCTCCAGGAGCAGTGGGTGGTATCCATCACACTTCAAAGTTACCCGCTCCCCCTTGAAGATGGTGGTCCAAGGTGGGTGTAGAGACAATATGGGCTTCTCCAGAGTAGCTGGGGTGAGAGGTGGGATAAGAGGGGGCAGCACGCAAAGAGAATCAAGGTGAGGTGCCCAAAGAAACGACCTGAGTTTGGGAAATCTTAGGAAACCCCAGCTCCCAGGCCCCAGCTCATGTACTAACCCATCCCTGCAGGACAGGAGATCACATTCATTGGGTTACAGACTATCAGTCCATCAGCCAGCACCCATTTCTAAATGCCTTCAAGCAAATTTAGTCCCAGTGGTTGAGGAGAGTAGGAAAAGACACTATCCCAGAGCAGCCAAGAAGTGAGGAGTCTACTGGAGCAGGTAACTTAGGGAGTTGGAGTGGAAGTTGTAGAAAATTGGGATGAGAAATGTATAAGACTCACCAGCTTGCCCACTGCTTGAAACTGCAAAACAAGAAAGAAGGAAGAGAAAGGGGAAGGGGAAAGTTGGTGATGAGAGGAAAGAGACTCTTGATGACAAGAAAGGCTAAATGATCCCAAAACCTGTTTTTCTTCTTTTGCCCCTGGTTTCCAAAGCTCTGAGAAAGCCCCTTCTTCTTTACCCCTCCAGAAATAATGAACCACCTGGAAACTGAGGATTGGATACCTACCCTCCTCTCCCCATACCTTGCTCCACCCTATTCTCCACCACCCAAAGCTCATCTGCTGCCTCACTGCGGACTCACCGAGGAGCAGAAGGGTTGTCAGTGCCCACATGATGGATCTGACTGCAGCAGCTGCAGAAGGATGGAGATGTGCTGGCATGGGATGGGGAACAGAGAGAAAGAAAGTGGCCAGCGGATGCCACTGAGTACTAGGAGATATTGCTGCTTCTCCCACCCACTGCTGGTTCCTGAAGATGGCAGACTGGAACGAGTAGAAGACAGGCTGAATATCAGGTATCCCAAGTGCCAGGCACTGTCTCATCTACCGCCTCTATAGCCACCTCACAGCTCAGGCCTGCCGTGACTACTGTAAGGAAGGCCTGCAGAACTTGTGCCCTCCACAGCACAAGAGAGCCCCATAGAATCCCAGGCTCCAGCAGATGACCCTTCCATCTTCCATCTTCAAGCTCCCATTGACATCCCACTCCCATCCCATCCCTTCTCCACCTTCCAGCCAGCCCTGCAAGGCTCAGCTGAGGAAGACACAGCCTCATGTCCTTAAGGTCCTTTTTCCTGCTCACTCCTGATAACAGACATTGGCGTGAGACCTAGAGAGGTCAATGTTGGGTTGCCTGCCCCCAGAGCTCACATCCTCCCACAAAGAGTAGACAAAAAGGCATGACTCACCAACCACCCTTCCCATCCCTATCATCTAGTTCCCCAGTCAAGGATAGAAATGCAATGTGTTTCTTCTTCCTCCCTTCCTGAAATCTTGAGTTCTCATAAATTCTTAAATTCTTAATAAGTTAGAAAACTTCTTTCCTACCCACCCCAATGAGCTCATCCTGAAGCACTTCCACTCACTTATTCCTTTCTTTCTTCCTCCCACCCTTCCCTGCAACCCCTCCCCAACCATGCCCTAGTTCCAGGAATCCTGACCTGCAGCAGAGAAGTCACTGCATCAGCCCCTCAGAAGCCTCTCAGGTCTGACCTCAGGGCTCTACTTCTTGTGCTTTCTGAGCCATGTGACCATACCTGAGCAATGAGGAACCTGAATTTTCATGTAAATACTTAATGAATTTTCCAACCTGATAGTATGTCTTCTTGGACTCTATCCTGTCCTTACGTGTGGTTGTTTAAAACCGGGACACCTTGATCCCTTGGAAATCAGATGGGAAGGAGATCAATTATCAGATACTGTCAACTCCCAGTGAGATAGTATCTTCCCCTCTTGTGGATGCCTGAAGTTCCACTCTGAGAATCCCCTCATATTTTGCTTAATGGAGCCCCTTTTAAACATGCAAATGCCTCTTAGGAAAATGTGACTGGTCATTTAAATTATGCTGGTCACTTCAGATCATGTTTTGAATGTAGGTTTTGATAAAAGAGATAAAGTCATGTAGATCTCAAACAAAGTAGGGACACATTTGATAATGTGCCCAAGAGTTGGGGAGGCAGAGAAGAACTAATTACTGGGAAGAGGGATGATCACCTACCTGCTTTAGGAGTGCCTGGGCTGGCCAGCACTCCTGTGCTTCCCTTCTAACCTGCTAATTCTTCATCTCAGGGCCAGTGTGTGGCTTTCCACATGATCCACAGCCTGCCACAGAGGTCTGACTTCTGCACCACGCCACCACGTGTATGGTAAGAATGCAATGCAGTTGTCAGCTGTCCTCTTAGGCAACAGAAGCTGGCTCTATTTTGGCTTCAAATCCCCCAGAACACAGATGTCAGCCCCTTTACTGGATTCAGAAGAAACCTGAGTACACCAAAACTTTGTGAACTGTACAGTCTTCCCCAGAAATCTCTGGAACCATCCATAGTATTCATATTATACAGTGCTCAGAATTTGACTTGAAAAATTTCCCACCAAATATTTCTTTATTCTAGGCTGTCCTCTAAGTTTTTCCCAAAGTGAGTCTTCTTACTCCATCTAGGACTTTTCCCCAGAATTTCTAATTCTTCACTACTTTACAATGCAGAAACATTTAGAAATTATCATTTGTAACTTGAGCAATTCTTTGAGGCCTCTCACAACACAACATCTGGACAATATATGTTACCATTTGATAAGCATTCTGGTGATGAAACGTTCTCAGTGATAATTATGGTAATGAACTAATGCTGTTGTTGCTGATGACAGCTCACTTTAGTGTCTCGGCATGTGGCAGGCACTATGCTAAGTGCTTCATAGATATTACTTCACTTAATTCTTGTAAGGCCCTTTGAGGAAGAATTATTAATATCCCCATTTTGCATATGTCCTCATCACCTCAGTTTCCTGCTGAGATGATGAAACTGGAATTTGAGTAGAAGTCTGTCTCCAAAATCTGTTCTCTTGTCTCTCTGATTGTCAGGGATTCAAGATGCTGCTCATGGCCGGCTGCCGTTATTGGTCTTTGCAAGTTCCCCCTCTTATTGTCTTACCTTGTTGACTTTCATCCTCATTACTGTTCTCATCCCCTCCACATAAGCTCCCACTGTACAATGTTTACTGTATGTTCCCATATACATGCAATTTTTATCTTTGAGAAATATTCAGTGTTGTTAATTTACATAAGTGGCATTGTGTTCTAGATATTATATTCACTTTTACTTTTAAAAATTAATCCTAGATGTTTCAAATTTGTTCAGATTGCTCTACATGCATCGTGTTTATTGCTTTTGACTGCTCTAATATTCTTTTTTTTTTTTTTTTTTGAGATGGAGTTTTGCTCTTATCACCCAGTCTGGCATGCAATGGCATGATATCAGCTGACTGCAACCTCCACCTCCCGGGTTCAAGCGATTCTCCTGCCTCAGCCTCCTGAGTAGCTGGGATTACAGGCGTGCATCACTACGCCGGCTAATTTTGTGTTTAGTAGAGATGGGGTTTCACCGTGTTGGCCAGGCTGGTCTCAGACTCCTGACCTCAGATGACCCACCCACCTTGGCCTCCCAAAGTGCTGGGATTATAGGCATGAGCCACCGCCCCCGGCCATGATAGCCCTAATATTCTTTGCTTCTGCTACACTGCACTTGTCCATTTCCCTAACATCCTAATTGCTGCCCACCCTCAGCTACCACAGACAATTCCACAGTGGACTTCTTGGTACATATTGTGAGGGCTGGATGAATTAACATATGTAAAGGGCTTAGGACAGGGCTTGGCACATAGGAGGTTTCATGTAAGTTAGTGCTGGTAAGGACATGATGCTTCCCTACAGAGCCCTGAAGTGCCTCTATGGGATACACACCTGAGAGCGAGACTGCAGATTATGCTCATGAGTTACATGCACACTCATTCTAAAACCCAAATCTAATTCATCAGCAAGTCCTGATGACTCTACCTGCTACATTGATCTTTTCATACAGTAATTTATTCACTGAGTCACTAGAGAGATACTTTTAAAATGTTAACCATATTGTGTTACTTTCCCTCAAAATTCCGCAAAGGTACCCTCAGAATAAGTTCCAAACACCTTCCGATGGTCTACAGGGCCCTACAAGTCGGGCCTTTCTCTGACCGTTGGCCTCATTTCCTATGACTGTCCCCCTCACTCACTCTGGTCTAGCCACATTGTGTTTAGAACAGTTGCTGGAACATTCCGTGCTTAGTCTTGCTCCAGGGCCTCACTTGCTGTTCTTTCTGCCTGAAAGATCCTTGTTCTCCTCCCAGATCTTTATAAGTTTCACTTCCTCACTTCACTCAAATATTACCTCCTCAGAGAGATGGTCGCTAACCATGCTGTCTAAAACAGTATCTCCTCACTGTCATTGGCTGGCTCCATATTTTGCTTTATTTCTCATCGTTGTACTTGTCACTACCCGGAATTGTATTTATTTATTTATTTTTTATTTTTTATTTTTTTTGAGACGGAGTCTTGCTCTGTCGCCCAGGCTGGAATGCAGTGGCCCAATCTCGGCTCACTGCAAGCTCCGCCTCCCGGGTTCACGCCATTCTCCTGCCTCAGCCTCCCGAATACAGGGGACTACAGGCGCCCGCCACTGCGCCCGGCTAATTTTTTTCTATTTTTAGTAGAGACGGAGTTTCACCATGGTCTCGATCTCCTGACCTTGTGATCCGCCCGCCTCGGCCTCCCAAAGTGCTGGGATTACAGGCGTGAGCCACCGCGCCCGGCCGGAATTGTATTTATTTGTCTGTGGTAGGTTTCCCTCCATTGGAATGTAAGCTCCACTGAGGCAGGAATTTTTTCTCATTCGCTGACGTATCACCTACAACAGTGACAGCACATAGCACATGCTGTGTGAGTATTTGTGACCTAAACAAAGGAAGAGATTGAATACTGTGAGATTACTCTCAAAAGTGGCTGCAAAAGCTTATACACCCACCGGCAATTCATAGGGCTCCTGTTCCCTCTTGTCGTCAATATTCAGTATTTCTTATCTTTGTAATTTTACCAAACAAGTTTTTCTTTTCCTAAATAAGAACATTTTAAAATTATTTTTATTTTATTTATTTTCTGTAACCCAGGACAGGGCTGATAATAATATATTTTTTTAAATTACTATTCTTTTTTTTTTTTTTTTTGAGATGGAGTTTCGTTCACTCTTCTTGCGCAGACTGGAGTGCCATGGTGCGATCTTGGCTAACTGCAACCTCTGCCTCCCGGATTCAAGCAATTCTCCCGCCTCAGCCTCCCAAGCAGCTGGGATTACAGGCATGTGCCACCAGGCCTGGCTAATTTTGTATTTTTAGTAGAAATGGGGTTTCTCCATGTTGATCAGGCTAGTCTCAAACTCCTGACCTCAGGTGATCCACCCACCTCAGCCTCCCAAAATGTTGGGATTACAGGCATGAGCCACCATGCTCGGCCTAAAATTATATTCTCTGATGTAAACTTTTCAGCAAAAGAAAGGCATTTCAATACCAAAGAAGTGCAAAGGACAATTTCAGAATAGAGAGCAGAGTACTTCTTTACACTGAATGTCTTTAGCTTTATGAGAAATTCACATATAGTTAATGAAAACTAACAGTGCCTGTCTGAAGGAACTCCGGCAGGAAGGCTGTGCTGTAACTCGTATTTCTCCACATCTCCTCTTGTCCAGTGGGAAGGAAGAAGGTTGATACCAAGAGGGAGGAAAAGTCTTAAGAAGACAGGACTAGGATAAGGCCTATCCAAACACACCCTCCTTAAACTTCCTCCTATGATTCTAGCAGGTCATTTTATCCCTTCCCTAGTCTCTTCTAAGTTGTAACTGAACAAAGTTTTTCTACCTTGGGCTACTGGGCTGGGCATAGAGACCTTTGTGTTTGAGAGGAGCAATGCTACTCCATATCTGATCACCCAGACCTGTTAACACCTCTCAGATCATTACTCTGTATTCCTCCTGTCCCTAGCTAAGGCCCTTGTCTGTGAAGTCTGGATGAGAACAACAGCCTTCAAATCTACCTCCCTCAACCCCTCTTCTAGTCGCCCCATTCACCTTATACCAGAATAATCATACTAAACATCACTTTTCATGAGTTCCTTCTTTACTCGAAATTTACCTACAGAATTCGATCAATTTTCTTATGGACATTTAAAGAGCTCT